GCAGTGGTCTGATACTCCTTCCATTTCTATATAATTGCTTGCACAGTGCTCCTTGAGATGTTTAAAGCTTGGGAAATCTTTTTGTATCCAAATCCGGCTTTAAACTTCTCCACAACAGTATCTCGGACCTGCCTGGTGTGTTCCTTTGTCTTCATGGTTCTCTCTGCGCTTTAAACAGAACCCTGAGACTATCAAAGAGCAGGTGCATTTATACGGAGACTTGATTACACACAGGTGCATTCTATTTATCATCATCAGTCATTTAGGACAACATTGGATCATTCAAAGATCCTCACTGAACTTCTGGAGTGAGTTTGCTGCACTGAAAGTAAAGGGGCCGAATAATATTGCACGCCCCACTTTTCAGTTTTTTATTTGTTAAAAAAGTTTAAATGATCCAATAAATTTCGTTCCACTTCACGATTGTGTCCCACTTGTTGTTGATTCATGACAAAAAAATTTAATTGTATATCTTTATGTTTGAAGCCTGAAATGTGGCGAAATGTTGAAAGGTTCAAGGGGGCCGAATGTATTTGTAGCCTTTGTCATTTAGATATTAGGCTAATATAGCAAATACAGCTTGCAGCCTGTGTTACCTTCATATAAGCCTTTTACAAGGCTCCAGACAGATGTTTTTAGTTTTTTTTGTCAAATATGGCTCTTTGAACCTTTTGAGTTGCCGACCCGTGGTATGAACAAACAACAAGAAACGTGAAAAAACATGCCTGGGCCGCCAAGAAGGAAAAAATGCCCGGGCCGTTTTTTTTGTCCCAGTCCAGCCCTGGTTCGAGCTGCCTCGCGCTGCATACAACTACACAGGTGCACAGGTAATTGAGTGGCAGAGTGAGAGGTGGGGACGCCAGAGGAAAGCTGAGCTGCAGGTCTGTTTTCACTAATATTTGCTTTTAATCAAGAATGTTGTTCCAGTTACTTACTTGTATTACTGAACTCGTAGGAGCTATCGTCTACTCGTCTGAAATGCTGTTCATTTGGGGTTGCGTGTATAAGACAATCAAGGAGCCGGTAAGCTAAATGTTTTTAGCATACACGCTAACTTACCGTAGCCGCTCCATTGAGTTACATTACGTTTCGCTAGCCTAGCCGCTCCCATTCATTTACATGGGGAGTGGTTAGCCTAATGATTTTATTCATAACATGCCTTGGTTTCTTTTATATTAAATGATAAATCCTGTTTTATGTGTGCAATCCGAGTGCTCTTATTTCCTTCTTTTATTCTGCTGTAAAGTGTAAAACGATGACACGGACATTTTCCCACTGTGGGACGAGGATTATCTTATATCATGAAATTTAGACGTGTTGTTTTGACCCATGTATCTTCCCTATAGTGAAAAGCCAGGTCCAAACAACACGCCAACCTTTCCCACCTCTGTCCCGGGTTGACGCTCCGTTTCAAACAAAATGCAAAAAGCTTACAGGACTGAAAGCTCTGAGACATGCTGGGTATTGACTCATCACACTTGAGTCCATTAGTAGCCAACACAACATTTTGTTTTTGCCATAACAGATATATTTGGTGACATGATTTGAACCGGGAGCTCGAGGACAACTGGAGGACAAACGGCGGCTGCTACAAGCGCATGGCTAATATGCGTCTTGTTATCTGCGTTTAGACTCATTCTGCCTCTAAAAGTGCTTTCCGGGATGAGGCCTGTTATTACCTCTTCATTGCGCTGAATAAAATGATGGATGTTTCCCAATCCGAGCGAAATTAATACAATCAGTTCACACGTCGGTGATAATAACTCACCAATGTTGTGCTTTAGTCGGGATGGCGCAGCAGCTGGAGATGCGGTTAAGGGCAATTAGAACCAGAGCGGAGAAAACAGGAGCTGCAGAGGGGAACAGCAAGGAGGTATAAATGTGGTGTTTCACAGAAATAACCGATCTCAACTAAAGACTATGGACTAAATGACTTTGTTTTCTGGTATGGAATGATTTTTATTTTTACAGGGAAAGTGTACAATAAACATTAGCCAAAAGGAGAGATGCATTGTACCAGGCAGTGGTCATTTATACCTGCCATCCCTGAGCGTGTTGTGATAATACTGTGAAATAAAAGTATTGGGACATAGTATATGACTGTACATTCAGCAAGCAGGAAGTACTATTTAATCCACCATATTGGTTTTAATTAAACCACCCAGCCCCCAGCACAAGCACACACACACACACAAAATAAATACATATTTTTTTTCTAAATAATCTGAAGTTCATACACATAGTTCATACTTTCATTCACATTTCATTGATTCCCTTAAACATTAGTTAGAGAGTAATCTTTCTCTTTCATTCTTGAGAGTGAATGGCGAAAAGCCTCGATTCACACTGATGACGCGGCACGAGCTGGAGAAGCCCGCCTCCAGGAGGTGATTGACAGGGGGAGAAATCAAAACAGCTCCTAAGTCCAACATATGGTCCGTGTCATTTTTCTGCTATTGTCAGCAACTAAAATTTGAGAAAATTTGTTTTTGGGTGTACATTCGTGAAGACAGTAATAGGCCCGAAGACAAAGAATGCCGCAAATGTGGCTGGACTTTATATTCACAGAGATCTGCCTCTGAAATCTGTGACAAATCTGTTCATCTGGGATTTACAATTACGATTACAGAATTACAGACTTCTGAACGATATTCTATTGTTCTGAATTTCACCTGTATACTCCAAAAACTGAACATAACTCTTCTGTAAATGAGGCTGTTGTTCCACAGAAACCTCCATCACCGCTTTTATGATAGAACCCAAAGACAAAATATCATGGTTAGAAGCTCAGAAATACTGCAGGACTCACCACACCGACCTGATAAGTGGACTGGACCAGCAAAGACTCATGGACCAAAAATATCCCGTCCGTAGTGATATGTTTCTGTGTTTTTTTGTTTCTACTAAACCCCATGCTGACTGAAATTGTTCAAAGAAGACACATATATTAATATACAGGAATGATAAACTTTGATAATGCGTTCTGTTCTACTGTCGATGGACTGTCGACTCCAGTCATCATGTACACAGGGGTCCATCCTGGGACCTCTTCTATTCAATGCTGCCGTTAGGTCAGTTAATACGCAGTGTGCTCACTGACTGTAGGGGTTACAAACGAACTAGGCCAAGTGGCCCGGATCGTCGCCACAGCGGTGTGAAGCACGGCTGCGGTCACAAGAGCTTGTTCTTTTAACCGTGCCAGAGCAGCTGTGCTAATGTACAACGCTCGGTCCAGCTGGTGGCGCTATACTAACTCCAGCGACGACTTCGTTGTCCGAGTTGTTAAGTTTCCGTTTCTCTTCCTGTTTACCTCTGCTACTGTAGCTACCAGCTCAGTACGGATCGCATTATTTAGGGAAAGATACATCTCACACTTGTCCACATTGCTCTGATGCGACGTGCAGCAGTTTAGTGGGTCACATGTGTAAGCACACGTGTGTGTGTGTGTGTGCGCCGCGGACACGGGAGCGCGCCTCTTAAAGGAATAGTTCACCGTTTTTACATACTGACAAATGTTCTTACCTTACCTTAGACTAGTTAATACGTACATGTCTGGTCTTAGTCCGTGCGCTCTGTCATGCAAACGGAGCAAAAACGGGAGCACAACCGCAGCCTCCTCTGTATATTTTGTAGCACCAAAAGGTAGCTCCCGCTAGAAGCTACCAAACTCTTCCAAGTGTTCCCTATTAAATGTATATAGTTACGTGACGTGTTACACTGCAAAGTATAGTAACACAGAAATGTAACAGTCGATTTTCTCAGCGGATAAAACGGGTACTATATTGTGAGGCGTAGTAATCTGAGGGGCGCTACGTCCGCGCACTAACTTCTCTCCGGAGACTTCTCTCTCGCTCACTTCCGTCAATAGAAGCAGCGTGACTTGTAATACACACAGTAGCAGCGAGAGAGAAGTCTCCGGAGAGAAGTTAGTGCGCAGAGAAGTTAGGAGCGCTACGTCCGCGCAGGAGGCTGCGGTTGTGCTCCCGTTTTTGCTCCGTTTGCATGACAGAGCGCACGGACTAAGACCAGACAGGTACGTATTAACTAGTCTAAGGTAAGGTAAGAAAATATGTCAGTATGTAAAAACGGTGAACTATTCCTTTAAGTAACGAGCATAAGAGCGCTGAGAAATTAATGAATGAGGATGAAAGAATGAAAAGTGTGGCGTACGAGCAGAGCGACCAGAGCCAGGCAGGATACAAGTGACTGTTAGTCTGTTCTGACGATTGAATAAAGACTGATTCTTGAATGTCTGAAGTGTTATTGCAATAGCACCACTTTAACTGGGCTTTAGGGTGCGCATGTGACCGCAGCCTAGGACAACACAGACCAGTGGACTCACTCCTTCACTGCATCCAACAGATCAGTGAATGGATGCAAAACAACTTTCCTCAGCCACAAAACTGAAAAAGTACGTCTGTGACATGTTAATGCCAATATGAAGCAACTTGGATTCTGAGGAGCACAGGGACTGGCCTCCTGCAGGAAGCATTTCGGATATATGCAGCTGGAACCATCCTCCAGAAAATGTGAGACATGCTTCTACTCTGACAACGTTAAAATCTAGATTAAAACAGTTGTGTTTATCCGTGCATACAACTGAACTTGTACTTTCACTCTTATTGATAAACTATGATTATTTATAATTTGCATGTTTGTGAATTTTAATGGTTTGTGTGATTTTTACAATTCTTTCCTTGTTTTGTTGGGCACTGGGACTGTTAGGTTATTGGTTTAAGAAACTGGAGAAACTGTGAAGCTTGTTTCAGATTGATTGAAGATGTAAATAACCCACTTCACAACATCATAGACAGAGACATAGATAGACAAGCTTTGAGTGAGAGCCATTGGTAAGACCTTTGTTTTATCTAATTTGAATATTCAAATTCAAAATAAGAGATTGTTTAAAATTCCCATGCAGAGGCAGAGGTTTAAACCTGGTTAGTCCTGGTTCAGACCTGCTCCAGTCCTCAAACTTGATCTTTTTTTCACAGGTGAAGATGGATCAGGCGTTGCTGCTGTCTGTGCTGCTGAGTGAGTTTGAATTCATTATGTTAGTTTGTTATTCTTTTACACGTGGTTGTGCTGTTATCCCTTTGCTATCTTTTTGTTTATCTAGTTATATGGGGTCTTGTGAAGCATGTTGAGTCGAATTTCCCTGTATGAAAATAAAATGTCTTCTTCTAAATATTATAACTTTGTATGGATATAATGTACAAATTCACTGCAAAAGCATTGACCAGAGTGAGTTGAAATGACTTAAATGGTTTCGTCCGTAAGACATCTTCATTTATACAGACTGAAAGTCTGAACAAAGCACTTTACGTTGGGGGCATTTATCCGCTCACTCCACAGTGATGGAAGCAAGGTCGCCATACAGACAGCACATGCCGGACTTGTTGTACATGTTTTTAGTAGTAGAGGAGACCACAGAAGACCACACAGGTCCACTCTGAAGGTGGATTTGAACAAAGGACCTCCTTGCTGTAAAACGCGACCGTTTGGTTTGATATGGAAGTTATGTCTAACTTCAGAAGTTATTCCAAAATAATTGCATGATTGATGATTGAACTTTAACTTGATAAGATCTTGTTTTTTGCCTCATTCTTCTCCTTCAGGTCAGTGGTGGTTCTCAGTGTCTCAGTACCATCTCGTAGTTGAGCCCATGTCGTGGTCTGATGCTCAGACTCACTGCAGACAGCACTACTCTTACCTGGCCACAGTCACTGACATGAAAGACGTGGAGGAGCTGAAGGAGGCCGCAAACGGACACACAGACGCCTGGATCGGACTTCATCGGACCAGCGAGAGCGACTTAGACAGGACATGGCACTGGTCTCACCCCACAGTCCAGTATAAGGAAGAAGAGTCTCAGTGGGCCGCAAACGAACCCAACAATGCTGGAGGTGTGGAGAACTGTGTGATCGTTAACAATAAAGACCTGTGGTATGATGTCCGTGAAGTAGAGCACAGATGTTTTCTCTGCTACGACGGTGAGCACACTGTTTTATTTTAACTCTTTAAGACTTAATTCCATCTGAGCATTACATGTGTGTGTGTGTGTGTACCTTACCCCAACTGAGAGCATTTCCACCAGCCGTTTAACTGGTACCAGGAACTTTGAAACTTGGCCCTGATTCTAACCAGGTCAAGCTGGTGCTAAAGTTTTCTCTGACCTTTTTACTACCACATACCGGTTTAATGTGAGACAATATTTTCACGGAACGGCAGACACCCCACCCCTTTCCAGTGCTTTTGAAGCAATCTCAGGGTACTCCATCAGGACTTTACTTCAGGAAATTGGTCTATTCTCTCAAACATACTTTTAAGACCGCCATCATTTGCAACATCCAACAGTTGATCTTCTTCTTTCCCAGACATATAGTACAATTTGTTCTTGTATAGCCCTAAATCACAACAGAAGTCATCTCAGAGGACTTTACAAAACCATTGAAATCACCAACACAGATCAGAGAATCAACAGTTAAAACACACAAAGAATATAGAACACATGTCCATACATGTTGTAGAATGTTAAAGTGTCCTGGATCATCACCACATCCTTCTAGTTGGACACTAACTGTCCAACTAGACGGCAAGGAAAAACATACAAAAACCCAGTGGGAAAAAAGTGAGAAACCTCGGGGAGACCCACAAGTTGAGAGAGGGATCCACTCCACACGGACGGACAGGCTATAGATCCAGGACCTAAGCTACAGAACATGGACCAGCGGCCATTGAACGTGGGCAGGTCCGGTGCAGGACTGAAGCACTCCCAAGCGGGTCGGGCAGGGCAGTCCGCAGGTGTAGATGGAGGCCAGGCTCAGAGGTCCTGTAGTCGTACCATGAAACAGACAATGGGACAACGGGTGAATAGCAATGAACAAACTACAGTCAAAATCCTAATAATGCAAAACAGATAAAGTAGGAAGGAGGAGAGGATAGTGCTCAAGTTACCATACTTCTCCCAGCAAACTGACTCCTTCCTGACCATATTCTAAACTAAAGAGGACTGTTTTAGTCTAGCCTAGAACGTAGGGTTGAAGATGCAGCGGACCAGGTCCCATATACGCAGACTCCAAGACCGGACAAGACCTGACCGAACAAAACAACCTTACCAAATGCTGAATTGAAGAAGAGTGTTTTAAGCCTGGCCTTAAATGTAGAGACCGTCTGCTTCCTTAACGTGCGTGGGGAGCTGATTCCACAGTAAAGGAGTTTGGTAGCTAAATGCTTGGTAGCTACATGCTGGATTCACTGGGTGTGTCGACAAATGGGTCACGGATCCAATCCTTGGCAGTTTGCGGGGTCATCTGAGGTTGGGAAGTAGTGCTCAACTCATTTAAAAGCAAAGACAGGGTTGTGCATTTACTGGCAGAATGAACACTGGGGCTCAGTCTCACCCAAAACACTTTCATTTAACACTGGCAAGCGATTTCCTTGAGATAACCATCTTATTTCTGTATATATTCTGTATTCTGTGTATATGTCACAGGTTAAAAAGTGTCTGTTGAGGGGGTGTGATCATAAAACAGGAAGAGGATAAAAAGGGGATAAAATTTAATAAAATATTTACAAAAGGTCCATTAAAATCATGATAAAACCCGTAGTCCGCTGGGCACCGGTGTCCTCCCTGGCCTCGGTTCCCTCCAGGCCCTTCTCCGTCCCGGGACCGGGCTGCAGTCCCGCCAGCCCCTTGCAGACCACGGGTCGCCACCGGGCACCCGCGGGGAACAGCCGGCACATCCCGGTCTTCGGTGGGCATAGCCCGGGCGCGCACGCGCCAGTGCGCTATCAATGCGCGCCCCCTCACCGGTGCCGCTCTGCCCGCTGTCCTCAGTGCCCCGTGGTCTCTGGCTGGCGGTGCTCGTCCTTGGCCCGGTCCCGTGTCCTCATCCTCTCCCCTGGCCCTCGTCTCCCTCTCCTCTGCTCTCTTTCCGTTCTTTTTCCTGTCCTGCAGTGCCCGCCCCCAATTAAAAGGTCTTGATTAAAACAGGTGCGGGTGATTAGGGGAAGTGTCCAAGGAACTGTGATTAAAATCCATGCATTAAAAATATAAAAACACAAAACACATCACACAAATAAAAGCAGTTAAAAGTCCTTATTAAAAGTTCACTTTCCCACATATACCAAGTGGTCCTGACCTGCGGAGTGCCACAGGGGTCAATCCTGGGTCCTCTTCTGTTTAATATTTACATGTTGCCTCTAGGTCAGTTGATTCACAGTAATAATGTCTCTTATCACAATTACGCTGACGATACTCAGGTCTATGTGTCCCTGACAGCAGGAGAGCATGAACCAGTGGACTCGCTCCTTCACTGTGTCCAGCAAATCGGTGATTGGATGCAAAATAACTTTCTCCAACTAAACACCGACAAAACTGAAATAATTGTTTTCGGACCCCAGAAACAAAGAGAGAGCGTTATTTGTCACCTCCAGGCTCTCTCTCTACAACCCTCAAATCAGGTCATAAATCTAGGAGTGATAATGGACTCAGACTTAAATTTCAAAAGCCACATAAAATCTGTAACATCAGCAGCTTATTACCACCTAAAAAACATTGCTAAAATTAAAAACATAGTGTCTAAGGCAGACTTGGAGACTCTTATACACGCTTTTGTCTCCAGTCGGTTAGACTATTGCAATGGCTTGTTCACAGGTCTCTCCAAACAGGCTGTAAAACAGCTGCAGTACATTCAACATGCAGCAGCTCGAGTCCTGACCAGAACTAGGAAGTACGACCACATTAGTCCGGTCCTCAGGTCTCTGCACTGGCTTCCTGTTCCTCAGAGAATAGACTTCAAAGCAGCTTTACTTGTGTACAAGTCTCTCCATGGTCTCGCAACAAGGTACATCCACGACATGTTTGTGCCATATGAACCGACCCGGACTCTGAGGAGCACAGGGACTGGACTCCTGTTAGTGCCCAGAGTCGGTACTAGACATGGGCAAACTGCATTTCAGATTCATGCGGCTAGAGTCTGGAACCGTCTTCCTGAGAATGTGAGACAGGCGTCTACTCTGGCATCTTTTAAATCTAGGCTCAAAACTATTCTGTTTAGCTGCGCATATACAACTGAATGATTTTATCTTTTCATCTTTGTTTTTATCTTTAATCTTTTTAATGCACTGTGACTATTTATGATTTTAGTCCCATCTGTGATTTTAATGTTTAAAGGTTTTTAATTTTTGTGATTTTATTTTTAATGTTTTTAATATATCTTGTGCTCTTAATGTGTTTGATTTATGCATGATGTGATAGGGGATGTGAAGCGCTTTGCGTTGCCTTGTGTAGGAAAGGCGCTCTACAAATAAACGTTGATTGATTGATTGATATAAGAAAAGGAATCTGTTCTCCGCGTCCATCTCTTCACAAAGCTGGTCAAATAGAGTTAAGGGCGTGTGCTTTGGTGAGGTTTTAAGTTTCCCAACATAATTTGATAAGTTTTTATGTTCGGGTGAAATTTTTTTTGCTAGCCAGCATTTCTCTGCGAATGACACGATGCTTGACCTCTTTATTACGACTGTCTCCTGGTCATACTGTACAGGCAGCTCCATCTGTGCTTATTCATATAGTTCCACTCAGTAACTGCTTCTGTCTTCGCGTTCCACATTTTTTGCCCTCATTATACTCCAAAGGTTTGTGTTTTAGAGCAGGGTGATTGGTATCTAAGTGGCGAAGCATTTTTGAAGAGAGTAGGTTGCCGCTTATAATGCAGAGGGCCTAGACTCTAGGACTCCTCACTGGGCCTTTTCCCTTTTGTTAAGAAAGATTGCCGTTTTTACTCATTTTGATAGCGTGTATGAGACATTTTAGTGATACAGTGTTATGTGACCAAAATGGTTAGAGAATACAGCCATTTTTCAAAAAAAAAGTATCGTTCGTAGTTGACCCCATTTTAAGGAGTACCTTCGGCCCAATAATGGTCGACAAAGCGGGGGGGACAAAGAGCTGCTGAGGGCCATTGTTACCAATACATTTCCCTGGACAGTGGTTTGTTGTGTGTAGGTTGTCAAGATACAGTACCAGATACTAAAGCGCTGAGTAGAGTAGAGCCGAGTCGGGAAAAGTAGGGCTGGTGGACACTGGTCAATAGGAAACCCTCGCACTACATCAGTTAAACTTTTTTGGGTAAAAATCAATAAGCATTGTCCCCCTCTCTCCGTATGTACAGCAGAAGTTATAGTGATGAATTTCACCAATCTCTTCTATTTATTAATACTGGTTACTTTTGATAAAGTAATCAATAAACTTGATTGTCCTCTAGAGGTAATCTGTCTTGGGCACAGTGCAACATGGTTCCTTATATAATACAAATAAAACAAAGAATATAAGACACAATAAAAACATATGATAAAGTACTGCTCTTTTGGATGTTTTTGCCCGAGTTCGTCTTGTCTCTGTGTTCTTTCAAGCTTAGAGCAAATTATCAGCATTATAGCAATTAAAGGATTGATATATCTCACTTTTGGCGTACAGGGTATGAAATATTGGTTTTTACATTGTAAGTTGAATGACAGAATAAATTGACCTTTGAACAATATTCTAATGTTCTAAATTTCACCTGTGTACTCCAAAAACATAATATGTCTTCTCTAAATGAGGCTGTTGTTCCACAGAGACCTCCAGCACCACTTTCATGATAGAACCCAAAGACAAAATATCATGGTTAGAAGCTCAGAAATACTGCAGGACTCACCACACCGACCTGATAAGTGGACTGGACCAGCAAAGACTCATGGACCAAAAATATCCAGTCCGTAGTGATGAGTGTTGGATTGGCTTGTCCCGGGACAACTGGGGCTGGTCAGATGGAAGCAACTCCCCTTTCAGAAACTGGAAGACAAATGTGAATCCAGTGGAAACAAAATGTGCAGCTCTGAGAGATGAGGGCCGATGGGACAGCGACAACTGTGGCCTAAAGAAGAGCTTCATCTGCCATGGAGGTAACAACAACAGCTGAAGCCACACTAAAAGAATGCATCTAAACTCAATAAATGATTGATTTAAACCTTTATTACAATCATGTGCCAGGGATGGAACAACTGTAATATTATTATTATACTATAATAATAATAATGCATAGATTTTATATAGCGCTTTTTTGGACACTCAAAGACGCTTCAAATATCATTATTCTTTCACTCCATACACGGTGGTGATAAACTACTACTGTAGCCACAGCTGCCCTGGGGCACACTGACAGAAGCGAGGCAACCAGTATGTGCCATTGGCCCCTCCACCACCAACCATTCACACACACAGTAGACTCATTCTAGGCAGTGGGGATGAAGTATCTTGCCTAAGGAAACAGCGGCATTTTGGCACTTAACAGCTCCAGCCGCCCCTCTAGATGAATTCTAACCATCAAACTTCAAACTCGGGAATAAAACAACAACCAAAACGATTGTAAAAGGTTATAGAAGTTCCACATATGTTCTAACATTCATTCAACAACCGATTAGAGCCAACCACCAGACAACACCCTCCTTAATGTTGCTTTATGTTTACCAAAGACGTCCTCAGAAGCCAAAGCTATTGGGCCTCATCTTCTCAGATTGCTGCCATTTGTGCTCAGAAAGATTCTCAAAAGGTTTCAGTGTGAATAGGTTCGATATGAAGTTTTTAAGACGCTTTGACTGCTTACAACAGTAGTATTTTGGCTTTCTCTTGGTCTAGAACACAAACAGAATTTTACATTTTCAGATAAGAAGACCAAGAAGACTTTGGTGAGGATGAAAATGTCCTCCCCAGTGGATCTCAACTCATTCAGCTCCGTAATACTGCAGCAGGTAAACATGTTGAATGTTTATGAGTGAATGACGTAGATCAAGACCCTAATTGACAGAGGACAGTGTTTGTGCATAGTTTCCGTAATTCAAGCATAAGTTTAAATAAAAAAACATATTTAATGATAGAACACATTGTGAGTGGGGAATAAGGATTGATACTTCACAGACCAAGGTCACCCAAAGCGCTTTACAAGGAGATTAAAGAAATAAAAAATCTGGCCAAAAGTTGTACTGCAACCTCTCCCTCCCAGATATGCAGACAAATCCAGCTGGGACTATAATAACTGAATAGACAAGTTGTTTTGTCAACAACAAATCTATAATCAACACCTATTTCACAAAGACCCGACAGAAATTCTCGTTATATTCCTTTATCATACCTATTTGTCATAAATGATTTGAGAATCATAAGACCTTTTCAGTGGCCACTTGTTGCTTTGGGGGCAACAGTAGCTCAGTTGGTAGAGCATTGGCCTTTGAGGTCGTGGGTTTGAGCCCACCTCAATACCTTCTCCACCGACTCCCACTGATGTCTGCTGTCGTTGTGTCCTTGGCAAGACACTTAACACTAGCAAACCCATGGAGGTGCCATTTGGCACTTCTACCTAAAAAGCCCACCACGGTGCCAAATGACTCCAAGGATTTTAGCTAACAAACTAAATCACCTGTGAACGGCCAACTTTGTTATGTAAATAAGGCCATTATAACAGGCTGAGCTGAAGTTGCTCAACCACTTTACTTTGTCTTCTTCGGGAGAGGGAGGATCTGATTAGTTAAAATGAGTTAAATCTAGTGTCATGCTGACTTTAGTTAAAAAATAATAATGAAAATAATAAAGTGAATTGAAAGAAAACAAACGAGCAACGTCATTCAATGTATACATTTACATTGTTTACAAAATAAATATGCTACTTACAGTTTTTCTCAGTGTCTTTGGTGCATTTATCACATAATTCTTCACATTTGCACGACAGTTAGTGCATTTATCAGAACAATTAGTACAAACTGCAAAACCTTGGGGATAACCTGCAAAAGTGCATCACCTTCTCAAAATGAAAAGTTTATTCCTCAAAAGCAAGTCTTCATGTCGAGGAAACTCCATCCATCCATCCATTTTCTACCCTTTAATCCATTTCTGGGTCAGGGGGGTGGCAGTCAGAGATGCCACCCAAGTCTCATAGCACCAGCCCCTCACTGACCCTCTGCAGGTGGTGAGTCCACAGGAGGATGGCTGCTCTCTGAGTGTGAGCATAGCCTTGATCTTTCAGTGGGGGCTTTTGGGCAAAGTAGGGTTAAGTGTCTTGCCCAAGGACACAACGACAGCAGTCATCAGTGAGAGTCGGTGGAGAAGGTGCAGAGGTGGGAATTGAACCCACGACCTTCTGGCCTCAAGGCCAATGCTCTACCATCTGAGCTACTGTCGCCTCGAGGAAACTGTCTGTCTCAAAATAATAAGTCTTAACAACATGGAGTATGAACAACACAGTCAAATGACTTTGTCACGTTTTCATTGTGACACTTTACTCTCTGTGTTTTCAAAGCAAAAAATCTGATTTTGGTGAACACTGTACAGCTGAAAACTACAGTAAAGTTACACACAACTGTATTTAGTGAGAGTAAAAGAACATTTATACTGTATGTACTGTATGTGTGTGTGTGTTTGTGCATGTATGTATTTACTGTGTGTGTGTGTTTGTGCATGTATGTGTTTCGATGTATGTCTGTGTACTGTATGTCTTTCACATATTTACTGCATATGCTCTTTGCAATTCTACAGCATTGTGCAACAGAAATACAGTCACATACATAGAGCAAACATACAGAATATCATTATGGTAGAACTGTGACGAATGTAAACAATAAAACACACACCTCGTCATGAGTGAAGCTGAAATTCGAAATTAGGAAAGATTTTCTGGATATAAAAAGATAAAGTAATGTATGAAATTAGTTTGACAGATTTTGGTTTTGAACAGTTTTGTATGTGATGACCAAAGCGATGAAATGAGGACTACTGGTTTTACAGAAACTATTCAGTCGTGAAAAGTATGTTTCATTCTGATTGACAGGACAGAAGCAAATGTTAATGTTATAAAACAGCAGAGAACTGTATGAAAGTAACTGATACATGTCCAAAAGCATTTGTAAAGTGTTCAAAGGAGAAACTGCCACGATGATGTCACACACGACTCAATGTTATGGAGGTTCTACCGTAATGATTTTTTGTATGTTATTCTACGTAAATACTGTATGTGTACTATTTTTGTTGCAGAATGCTGTAGAATTGAAAAGAGCATAAGCAGTAAATATGTGAACATACAGTACATACATATGTATCACTAAATACAGTCACAATGAAAACATGACTAAATCATTTGACTGTTGTTCATAAACACTGATGTCAGGACTTATTCTTTTGAGACACAGACAGGTTCATTGACATGAAGACTTTCTTTTGAGGAATTAAGTTCATTTTGAGAAAGTGACTTTTTAGCAGGTTATCCATGAGGTTTTGCCGTTTGCACTCATTGTTCTGAGAAATGCACTAACTGTTGTTAAAATGTGAAGAATTATGTGAAAAATGCACCAAAGACACTGAGAAAAACTGATTACAAAATATATACAGCGCATTCTCAGGGTACACAGCACATGTGTATCTGTGGTCTCACAGACTACTGTAGTACTCTCTTGCAGCTCTCCCTCCCCCGCACGAATAAACAAAGCCCACCCCAGCCCCCTGCTGTTATAAGTCATTACCTACATTTGCAAATCAATACATGCAAATGTTAGCAGCCAACCTAGCAAGTTAGCTCCCTCTTCTCAAAACAGGGGCCCATTTCGGTTGGGTTTTCTAGTGTTAACCTCTGGAACACCAGGTGCCACAGTGGGGCGGCTGTAAAGTTCCAAACTGCCGTTGTGTCCTTAGGCAAGACACTTCACCCCCACTGCCTAGAAAGAGTCTTGTGTGCGTGTGAATGGTTGGTGGTGGTCAGTGGCAACCAGCACATACTGGTTGCCTCGCTTCTGTCAGTGTGCCCCAGGGCAGCTGTGGCTACAGTAGTAGTTTATCACCACCGTGTTTGGAGAGAAAAAATGACATGTAAAGCGTCTTTGAGTGACCAAAATCGCTGTGTAAAACCAAAGATTTTCCTCATCTTCCTCACTTTTAGAATCGAATCGAAGAATAGAATAGAACTTTATTGTCTGTTCAATTGAGCAGAGATTTGTCTTTCAACACGGCACATTTAAAGGTCATTCATTAAAAACACACTTAAAATACCTCACTTTGCTGGACTCGCTCAGAGCAGACTCGCGTGACTCCGATATCAGTGCTTTTGGCTGATAATGACAGTAGAAAATTGAGTGTAGCGCTAGTTTTTACAAAGAGATTATGAAAAATCTGTCAAATTATCATGAACTAAACTTTTTCTCGTTTCTTCAGCTGCAGGAACATTTAAAGGCCAACAACCTGGGGGACGTCAAACTGACCTGGACAGAAGACGACAACCACTGCGTTTTCAAAAAGGAAAAATCATCTTCACAGAACTAAGATCAGCAATGGGATACTGTCCAATAATTCAACGTTTAACTGATTGTTGTGGCCTGCTCCATTTTCCTTATTTGTTGAGCAGAGAGCAAGTTTCACAGGAACGTCATTTATAAATCAAAAGCCTGTGTGCTTGTGGTTTACATGTCCCGAGATGTTCTTTTCTCCTCGCTCGTTTCAAATAATTATTTAAACTTACAGTGATGAGACAGTAGTTCAGTTGGTATAGCCTGAAGGTCGTTGGTTTGATCCGCCCACAAGACCTACTCCGACTGCTCACACTGATGTCTGCTATCATTGTGTCTCTGGGCAACCCCACTTTGCCCGAAGACCCCGCTGAAAGACCATGGCTGTGTCTTCAATGACCTAGAAGCAGCCATCTTCCTGTGGACCACCACCTGCAGAGGATCAGCGATGGACTGGTGCTGTGAGCATTAGGGGGCAGCACTGATTGCCACCCCCCTGACCACCCCAAAATGAATGAATGACCATACGTACAAAACATATTTGGCCTAAGATTGATCAAGTGACTTCACAACTACAGATATGAGTGCCACAGATGAACAGTCTATTTCTTACTTTATGCAAATACTCTGAATTCAATGTCAGTTTTTTATGTGTCAA